TGTGTGTGTGTGTGTAGGGCTCAGTTCGGAGGACAACGGGGTTGAAAGTATTAAAAACCCACTGGAGGATGTGACGGCTGGTCTGTTGGACAGCTCGGGTCAGCAGCTCCCTCTGCAGGCCGTCCATGTGAAGTGCAAACTGATGGATCTGCTTTCTCAGGTTCTCTTTATTTACTGATTACAGCTCGGTGATCTGCTGGTTGATTTGATTTCAGCTTCCTAAAATCCATTCAATTTCTTTTTAACAGTATGTGTCTCTCCTCTATCCTTTTAGGTCATCATTTTCCAGAAATACACCAATCTGAGCTCTGTCCCCATTGAGGCAAAGTATGTCTTCCCGTTGGATGATTCTGCAGCAGTGTGTGGATTTGAAGCTTTCATCAATGGGAAACATGTGGTGGGACAGGTAACCTGACTCTACTTTTCTTATCACAGATTTTTAGTTTTTTTCCTCTCCAGTTACTGTATGTCTTTATTATCTAATATCTTATTTCCTTACCATATTATTATATTAGTTTAATATTCTCATATCAGATGCATAGTTACCATAACAGCGGCACAGATACCATAATAAGCATTTTTTTCCTTATCTTTGTTGCTTGTACACACTGTGAGCAAATGCTTTTTTCTAACTGACTGTTCAATGAATACAATTTCAGGTCATTGTATAATGGCAGGTAGTAAACCTCACCCATGAGTACATCGCTTATGAGGAATTATTAGTAAAAACAATGTGTAACCTTGTGTTTCGTGTCTGTTTGGATGTCAGGTGAAGGAGAAAGAGAAGGCTCGCAAGGAGTACAAGCAGGCTATTGAGAGAGGCCATGGAGCCTACCTCATGGACCAGGACGCCCCCGTATGTCCACCCTCACATAACACATATCATCACGATAAGCCCGGCAATCTAAAATATTAGAGATTGACTGTCATCAGTCAATATATCAGGATATTTTCTAACTTCTTTTCACAACATCTCATGAACTTCATCAAATCATTAAATAGATACATAAAAGTACAGCGTTGCAAAGTGGGAGCTGCTGCTTCCGGAGTGTCTTTCTACATAGAAACACAGGACTGTCCTGGATAATGTCATGGAGAAGAACTCTGTCACAGGCGTCTATCACAGCGCAGTTGTAGAAGTAAATAGCAACTCTTCAACATAGCTGAAGAGCAAACACTGTCACTGTTATCACAGTTAGATACATGGTGATCCAGTGGGACATGAATTACTGGTACTGGAATAAGGGTCGTTTGCATGCTCTATAAATGTGTTATTTTTGCCTTGTGTATTTGAATATTTCTGCATAATAGGGTCCATAAACAGTGTTGAAACTGCATAAATTGGGTATTACTGGAAAGCTCAATTAAATTGTAGTAAAAGATTCTTTTATGTGAAGTGACTTCTAAGGTAATCACAGCCTCATGATACTGTACAACCACAGAGCATGAGATCGAGGGCTATGATTTCTCACCATACCTTACTCTTAAGTGGCTGCATTCTAGTACGGCCCATTACAAATGCAGAGCTGCTGCATCAATAGAAAAACTATTATTAGTGACAAAAAAAAGTCTTCAGAATCAGAAGAAAAACAGATTCCCCCTCCAAAACAAAGATCCAGTGATGCTGAATTCAGCCAAGTCAAATCAAATCAACACACTGCTCCCGTCAACAAGAACCAGAAATGTACTAATGCAGTTTTTAAACAGAAGGCTATCATGTTGATCCAATCCCCAGAAGAGCTCCAGCTCTGAGTCACGTAACATTGTCTATTGGAAAAAATGAATGGGAATTTTACTTCCGGTACCAGGGGCACCCAAGATAACTCCTCTCACTTTGCAGCTCTTATTTGTACACTGGTTGTGATGTGATTTTTGTGCTCACTGCAGGATGTGTTCACCATCAGTGTGGGCAATCTGCCTCCCGGCGCCACTGTCCTCATTAAAGTTACCTTTGTGTCTGAGTTGATCGTCAGGGATGGAAATATTCTCTTCTCCCTGCCTGGGAGTGTGGCTCCGTGGCAGGAGAGTGCAGCGCTTAACCAGACCACACAAGTAAGTAGAGACCAGACAGGAGGCCTAACTAACAATCCAACCTCAAAGTATTAAAAACAGGCAGGAAGAAGAAAATCAGAGAGCAAAATCTACTATTCTACATGCATCACAGGAGAAATAAAACGTGTGCTGGTTTGTTTTTGTTTATTTGTTGGTTTGTTTTGCTGCTTCAGGCTTGTGTCTTTTTGTTCTGGCTCGTGCAAGATTGTACAGGATTTAGAGGAAGGGCAAGGATACTGGATCTCATTGTATGTGAGGGGCTCGACATTGAAAGTAAAATTACTGTTAAGGTTTTCTTCATCTTCCGTTACTCAACAGGTCACTGTGGAGAAGGTGTGTGTGACTGATGAGGCAGAAAGCACGAGGTGAGCTTTGATAAAAAAATCTGACTCCATCTTTAGCGTAGTTCCACAAATAAGTAGTCATTGACAGTTTTGTTAATCAGTTGTCATTCATCAAGTGGAACGTTTGGATAGATAAAGTGTGTTGTCCTACTATGTGTGCAGCAGCAGGCTGTGTTCAATGTACGGTTTCTGTGCTCAGAGAGTTCACCCTGGACATGTCGATTGAGATGCCGTATGAGATCAGCAACCTGAAGTGCACCACACACAAAGTCAAGATGAAGGTAATTTGGGCGTTTTCACATTTTATTAATCATGTGTTTTATGGTTATGGTTAGTCTTTTTTTTTGTCTCTGTGTAGGAATCCTACACAAGAAAGTGTAGGCAAAATGTATGTGTAAATGTATTTTTCTGTGGACTAGATAAGCTTTAAAAATCAAGCAAAAGTCTGCCAACAAATGTCTACAAAAGTGTTTGGAGTATTGATATTGAACCTGTTTACTGTTTCATATATTTCTACTAATGGAGTTCAACTGTCTGCCTCACAACTAAGTGAAGAAATTAAATCTATAAGTGGAGAATTAGTTGTTATTATTATATTATTAGATTGAGTTATGGGATTCCATGATGCAGATTTGTCATTACTTTTGATGTTGTTTCATACTAAAAAGTTGACTCATTAAATGCCGGTTTGTTTGTCTGATTGTTTAATCCGTAAATTAAAAGTGATGATTAATTGCGAACCTTGTCCTCTTGCTCTCTTATATGATTTCATAAATACAATAGAAGTGAATTGAATTGTGTTTATCCTGTTTTCTTTTCTGCCTGTGATCCGCAGAGAACAGACTGTAAGGCAGTGGTGAGCGTGCTGCCAGGAAAGGTCATGGGTCCAGAAGGTTTCCAGCTGTCAATCACTCTGTCTGATGTCCACCTGCCCAGGATGTGGGTGGAGAAACACCCTGACAAGGACAGCCAGGTCTGTCAGTCTGTCTGTCAGCCTGTCGTCCGCACTCTCTCTCACTCTGGCTTTTGTCTAACCATCTCTCGCACTCTCTTCTAGGCCTGCATGTTGGTGTTCTATCCAGACTTTGACGCCAGCTCCAGTTCAGCATCCGACGAAGTTGTCCTGTTGCTGGACACGTCTGAGTCCATGAAGGGAGAGTCTTTGCGCATGGCCCAGAGAATCGCCCTGCAGGTCCTAAAAACCCTCGACCTCAACCTCAGACTCAATGTCATTTTCTTTGGCACAGGTCAGTCTTTGTGTATGTAGTGAGAAAAGCTCAAAAAGACAGAGACAGACATGTGAAGTCAACTCCTGTTACACGAAAGTTTCCTACAAACAAACTACATAGTTTCAACCTGTTCAATTATTATCGTCTTGCTGAATATTACAAATAAGTAACAAATGACTACAGTATGACATTTTCCTGACTTTTACTGTTTGTTTTTGCTTTGATTTTGTCAGATCACACAGAAGCTTTCCTGGCAGCACAGCCGCTTTCTGAAGCTCAACAGGCAGCCGAGAGCTTCATCAAGGTGAGTTATGATTCTTTCATTCTGTAGAACAACCTGGAACTTGTTGTTGAAGAAAATTTGTTCTGTAAATGCTTTGTTTTCTGTGATTATTTACATTTATTAATATGAATAATCCATAGACTTTAGATAAAAATGAAAGTAGTCTCTGTGACGTCATGCATAGGTTTCTGAAGAGCCATTGTGAAGCTCAGTGTGGTCAGCTCTGGTCATCGGCTCTGGTCATTGCCATCTTGTCAGTTCAAATATGTGGCGTGTGGGTGGAGCTGAGGCGGGCTGAAGGACGCCTGGTTACTGAAACCAGCCACCTGTAACAGCACCCACCTGTCACTCAAAGTGCCCATGCCCTTAATTATTTAAGCTTTATTATAATTAAATGGGTGAGTTTCAATTGTTAAACCCTGTATAGTTGTTGTGAATGAGGTATTTAGATAAAGAGATCAAAAGGGTTTTTGGTATCAGGGTGTAAACATCCTTATTTCTGCTGTCAAGTTGGGCATTTTAATATGGGGCCTTATGGAGATTGTCTTCCCTCAAGTGGCCGTTTGCGGTGCAACCACAGAGGTTGCCACTTGGTCTAACCAAATACTAAAGTTCAATATCTTAATGAAGTGTCAGACCGTGGATGATATACTGTAATTATGTGTGAAATGACTTCAACCTGAGCTTGCAGCCATGAAATCACTATATATGTGTATTAGCACATTTCATAATTATTAAATAACAAACAGGAAACAATGGTGAAAATGACTGGTCAATGTAAGATTAACTTCTTCAACATATGGAAGAATGCTAAATTAGATTTAAAAATTAAATGTTTTTTATTATTAAACATAATTTCAAAGTTAAAGTAGCTCTAAATTCACAGCACATACCAGTAGTAAATGGTTTAGTTGCTTTGTACAGGAAATAATTGTTTGGGCCCTCATTAAACTATACTCATTCGGATCCTGATTGCCTGACCCTCTCCCCCCCATCAGCGCAACCCTCCAGTAGGGGGCAGCACCGAGCTGTGGCGGCCACTGCGAGCCCTCAGCCTACTGCCTCCGTCCCGCGGAGTCAGGAACCTTCTGCTGCTGTCAGACGGCCACATCCAGAACGCAGAGCTCACCTTGCAGCTGCTCAGAGACAACACTCAGCACAGCCGCCTCTTCACCTGCGGCCTCAGGTCTGAGTGGGTTGGGGGGGTGGTGAGGATATTGACTTTTGATTTTCTCAGCTAAAGACACACTCAAAAAAAATTATGAAAAATTTTAAGAATTTCTATTTTGCATATACAGCATGTGTCCACATGCTCAGCACAGTTAGTTTTTTTCAGATTGCAGAATTATTTTGTATTTATTTTTATTTGTAATTTCAGTCCAACAGCCAATCGGCACATGCTAAGAGCCCTGGCTCAGGCAGGGGGTGGAGCCTATGAATTTTTCGACACAAAAACCAAACACAACTGGGTTGATAAGGTGAGCCTGCCTACCTTTAATTAATCATGCATTATATTGGGAGTTTATGTTTCTGCTATCGATTATTGTGTCAATTAGCAGCAATTAAACAGCTTTTAGGATTGGTGACAATTTGTCACAATTTCATTCCTTCCCTTGACAACAATGCTACCCTTGTCCACATGACCTGGCTGCCCTCGGTTACAAAAATTCTGGAGAGAATCCCCATACAACATATTAAAGCAGAATTTAGACCCAGGCCCCCTCTTAGCTCTGTTTGGTGTTACTGATAGACAGCCCTCATCTGACCTCTGCAGAGCACTGCATGGTTGCCTTTGCTTCACTCTTGGCGCAGTGTTGTTCAAATTGAAGGATGCTGCCCCGCCCACACTTAGTCAGTGTCTTTGAGACATAATGTTCTGCCTTACATTGGAGATGTCACGCTTCTTAGTCAGTGGCTCTGAGAACAGATTTTATAAGACCCGGGGAACCTTTTTGACACCCAAACGACATAGCATGACATGCATTCTAACGCCACTCGTCACACAGAAAATAACACCAGGCTTCATGGAAATAGCTTTAACTTAGCTATAACATTGTGCCTTAAGTTTATTCTAAATAACCAAATGGGTGGGCTATGGGGGATGGGGGTGTAAGGTTGTCTCACTTCATTATTGGTTTTGTTGAAAGCATCAATAAAAAGATTATGAAAAAAGAAGACCAAATACATGACGATTCATGTTTTATCTGCTTTTGTTTTTACTTATTCTTTTGTAGTCATTTTTGTCTCCATGGAAACATGTTTCTTTATGTTGCCACACTGGCTGGCAAAGTTCATCCAGGGAAATGCAAGACTTGAAACATTTCCCAAGGGAATCTTTCCAATCTCTATGTGACAAATGCACTTAAACACTGTCATATCATTCATCTGTTTCCTCTGTTTTGTCTGTTTTGGCTGCAGGTGGCGTGTCAGGTGAAGCGTATGGCGTCCCCTGGCTGCAGTTCAGTGTCAGTGAAGTGGCAGCAGTTCAACCCGACCGCCCCCCCTCCAGTGCAAGCCCCCAAGCAGCTCCATGCTCTGTTCAATGACTGTCACACCCTGGTTTACGGCTTTGTGCCACACTGCACTCAGGTACGCAGTTTATGTACATGATAGCAAACTGATTTGCACTGTTGCTTTATGTTTTTGTGAGTCTGCAGCTAATAGTTATCATTAATCTTTTGATCTTCCTCTCCATTCTTTGTCTATTTTTTTATTTAATTGTTTAGTCTATAAAATATCAGAAACTGGTGAAAATGCTCATCACAATTTCCCAGAGCTCAAGGTTACATCTTCAGATTGCTAGTTTTCTTTGACCAATAGTATATATGGATGAGCACCAATATCGCACACCAAAATATATGCACAGCCCACCAGACTCCATTGACCAAAGCACAGAGAGGCTCAGATAACAACACACACAATGGGGAGGTGTGAGCTCATTCTCTGCCCAGGACAGCATTACTCCACTATATCTTTATGATAATGATAATCTTTATTGTCCACATATGTGGACATTTGCCTTTAGCTTCACAGGTTGGTTAAAACACATCATTGTACATCACAGTTCAAACTAGAATAAATGACACGCAACACAACAGTACAGACAACAATAACGGATATGGTTCCAGTGTAAAAATGTTTGCATTTGGTACGGAACGTTTTGTAACGTAGCACAGCAAATACAAAGTAAATAGTTTGCTCTGCTGCTATATTAGTGTTCTAAAGCTTAAGATTTAAAAGTCTAAAGCAACAAATATTCTCATATTGACTCAAATGATTAAACTTTATACAGGCCACCCTCCTTGGAAACCTGTGTGGCCAGGAGCTCAAAACCATGGTGTCAACCAGTGAGCTGCAGAAGACCAGGGGCACAGTGAGAACACACACATTCACACTCACCATAAACAGCAGTACCTGCTGTATATGTTAAATGTCACAACATGAATCTGTTTGTTGACTGATGAAGAGGATCATATTGTTTACTGATGTGTGTGTTCAGTTTCTTCACAAGCTCACAGCAAGAGCCCTCATCAGGGATTACGAAGACGGAAGCCTGGACAACAGTGAAGCCGAACATGAGGTGCGTTTACGTGTGTCATTGACTGAGACCAAAAGCAACCCGCCTCAGTTTAGACATCCAGTCTGAGCTCCACACGTGTAACATGGATTTTTGCTTTTCCAGGGGAAGAAAGCAGAGTTGAAGAACTTCATCGTTGAGTTAAGCAAAGAGTTCTCCATCCTGTCTCAGTTCACCAGCTTTGTGGCCATCGAGGAAAGGGTTTGTGCAATGTTTAGCCCTTTTTTCACATTTATGTTATCTAGAGACGTTCTGATACTATTTTT